TTCTTGCAGAGATCTCTGTAGGTTCGGTCGCTTTGACTTGGACGACTTCCATTCATTTCCTTTCTCGGAGCTGCTTGCCTCTGAGGCCAGCTAGACGGGGAAAACGGTCTCGGGACCAATAGTTATTAACCTGATAGGCTCAGAATCAGTCACCTCTTTGTCTGGAAGGTTTGGACTTCTCTTGGACGAAAACCTCAATCGCAAACATGCTTGGTAGTTTTTGCGCGAGGCCCGTTGTTTTAGGATACGAATGTGTCTATCCAAAGCCGGCTGAGATTGTCGACTTTGGTCGTTTGTTCCTCACCGAAAGCATTTTTGAGTACCTTACAATGGTTAACAAGTGAAGAATTTAAGCACCGAAGCGATTGTAGGATTGGTAAAAGGGAAAAAAGGGGGTAATTGAATTTCAGAAAATTATGTATGTGTTCTAAGTCGATCCTATTTAAATGCCTTCCGTGAGTCTATGAACATGAATGATTAAACTTACATTATAAGCTAATAATTGATAAGTTGAATTGTATTCACATTGATACTGAAAGTCATGCTCTACGTGTTGTTCATCGTGCTACTTCAGTGTACGCGTATCTAATACATTCAGCCCGTCTCCGACTCAGACAAAACCTTGCACAGTGCTCCTATTCTCTTTTATTACTTCTAAGATCATTGATATATTGCCCGTGATTGTGGAAACCCGAAGGACAAAAGACAATTGGTGTTAAGCAAAGTGATACTAATATGAATCTCTTTCAGAGTTGATTGAATTGATCGTCGTCTACCATGAGGATTCTATCTAGGTACTATATACATCTTGAGTATCCTACTAATTCTAAATATAGACTGACTATTAGATTTCCCATGCAAACTGCTCAAATCCCCGTTCCATACATGGTTCTAAAATTGACTGTTACATTATCATGGGCAATAGAGATAGTGAAACAACAAGGGAGTTGTGCGAATGAAATTGGCCATCCGTCTAATCGCTAGTTGTAACATTTGCATGACTAAGTTATTGCCCTTGATGCATCAGCCCAGGTTACTTGCTTGTAAACTACTCAACTTAAACATCATGATACAACATTTAAATTTAGGGTTATCTGTTAGACAATTGGCGAGTAGTCAAAAGCTGGCGTGGACTAAAAACAAAAGATTCTAAACTTAAGAGAAAAGTATCTAGGAAGATATGAATCTGTATATATGTACATTGTGTTAAATTACAAAAGCCTTAATCACACATAATCATTCTCTTGTCCTCAACATGGAGTTTGGGTTGTGGTAAGCGTTATTTTAGAAATAATGAAGAAAGGTGTTTGGAGAGTTTATATACCATGTATTATTAGTCACTTATTAGCGTATAGACTAGGCTGGTAGACACATATTAGTAGGAGCATAGTCGCCGTATGAATCGTATATTTGTCCTTAGTAGGGCCCAAAGCAGTATTGCAGTTCAGATAAGAAGTGAGCACATTGGTCTCATTTCTTATCTGTATCGAAGGAAAGTCCCCGGAATGATTTATCCAAAATGCCGGTGTGAATATTCGTCTCAAAATGTCAAACACATGGTCTTGGCGTGTCCTCGGTGGGCAATGAGAAGAGGAGAGGTGCTTCGAGAGGCAAAAGACAGGTCATTTGCGGCAGTGATGAACAGCCCAGATAATATAGAGAGAATTACGAAATAGATCCCGGCAAAAGGCTGCTTTGAACAATTCCGGCTTGTAGGAGTAGTAGAAATGGCATTGGACGAAAAGATGAGACGATGTGAACAAGGATAAGATGGAATTCACACTGTATAAACAGTGTAAACGCACTTCCTGTAGGAAACCTCAGAAAACAAATAGACACGAAACAGACAGTTTTGAGGGTTTTTCCCGAATTTGGTTTCCTCCTGTGTAAATATTATAGCTAGATATACCTGCATGGGCCCATAAGGTACCTAAACGGGCTAAATGAAATGAAATCAAATAAAATTGTGTGTTTGTGTTTATTGTACTACTTGAGTGCATGACTATCTAGCACCTTTGGCTCCTCTCCGACCCAGGCCACGAGATGTACAGTGCTCCTTACCTCTCATGTTTCTTGATAGATAGTTGATATATTACCCTTGATGAATAGCCATTTAGCTCAGTATTTACCCGTGGAGTTCGGCCACCTTTTCCACGGAGCCTTCTACCCAAATATAAATAAAAATGGTAGCAATGAAAACTGCGTGCGTGTGAAAGGGTCTCAAAAAACCTGCAGCCACAGCCAGACGAGGCCTAGACACTGGAGCCACATAAGGTGCGCATATTCATCGATATCTCCCTTCTTTGTAACAGTCGAAGTCGACTTGATCCAATCCACCATCTCCGTATCGGGTGCTGGGCACGCTCCGGAAACTCATTGGATGGCTTCTCCTCCATGATCAAGGGTTGGTGATGAGTAGGGCTTCGACCCTACCATCTGATCTGATCGTGGTTAGCTTCATGATAATGGTGAAAGGGGTATGTGTTGAGAGATGAAGACGATACAGATGGCGAAAGCGATTGGGAATCCTCGTCGAAGTGAGGACTTTGTTACTCAATCTCGGCTCTGCAGACTCAATAGTGAGAGCTGGAGACTCGTAGGGGACACCACTGACAGGATTTAAGAAAAGTCCCCCTATCTAGTAGTATATTTCCCCCTGTGTCTCCTATACAGCTCCCCTCAAACAGTACCACCCCTCACAAGTCCTCATTCGGTCATACACTAAGAGGAGCCCCTTGCCCTTCATTATCTCCCCTCTCCAGTCAACGAAACGATGGCCATTTGCGGGTGTATGGCAGCCAAGAAATATCGCGAAAACCACTGGGTGCGGAGCTCTCCTAATACCGACATTAGGACTAGATCCGAAGACATAGTGATCCTTCTGAAGCGTTCGAAGATGCCGGCCAGCTGGGCGCTGCAGACTTGTGGGTACCTCGGGAAATTCACCCTCCGCCTTTCTAGCCTCCTTCCCGAAAGTCGTGCTGAAATTTCAGAATAGTCTTGATAGAGCGTGATTGCTGTATGGTAGCTTGTCCCAACTTTTTCTGTGCCTTCCAGAGCGCTGGGGAGTGCCATTGACTCATCGACAAAAGAAGCCTTCCTGGCAAATTAGCCGAAAGCTTCGTCTTGGCACCCACAAAGAATCCAAACTTGAAAGCCCCTCGAAAATATCAGTTCCAGCTTGGTCTTCAAAGACCTGTTCCCCCTCTCGTTCCACATTTCAGCCGCCTGTTCTCCCTCAAGTTGTTTGTCCCATTAGAGCAACAGTCCCAAATAAGCCAAGACCCAGGCTTTGTATTTTTCGACTTAATTTCCTCCTTGCGGGTATACGTAGCGTCGTAAATTTGTAGTGGGTGATGGCCCGTAACGAATGAGGCAAGCTCCTATTTGCAATTGGGGTGACGCCTTTATCGGTCGTTTAGGCGAGATTATTTGTGGTTAGATAGAGGATGAGGACTCAGATGAGAATGGTGAGTGCTGCATGATTGAGAAGTCGTCAAATGGAGATGTGCTTGAGGTTGCTTTTGACTTCGATTCGGATGCGATTCTTCTTGGCTATCCCAGATATGCATGGCATACTGAGCAATGACACCGGCACCACTGAAAATTGAAGAATTCGTCTTTGCCGGTGTTGTTTTGAGATAATTGTATATATAAAGGTCTAACTTCTCCTAAGCCTACTGAGCAGTAGAAATATACAAAAATCCGTGCAAGATAAATATCACGTTGTTATTTTGGCTAATTAGTATACAATTCATTATTCTGATTTGGTGCCTTGAGGCCCATGCAGGTTTTATTAGAAGATATGTACTTTAAGTAGGATGGCATAACTTGACGTTTAGAACACTTACACTCAGATTTCATTTGCAGATACCACTCGAGGTTAACTCGTACGGCATATAACCTCTTCCGTGCATACCCAACACAGGGAAAAGCGTGAAAAACCTGTGGCTATCCGAATGTGCTTTCATCATCCCACAAGCACAATATCACCGTGAGAGAGAGAGTGGTGTGTTGGTTTTACTGGATTCGATCAGTTTTCTCCTGTTTCAAATGGGGCAGGTGTTCAAGCTACCAAGTATCAACTTGGGAAAACGGCCCGGATGGTGTACCACTGCACCATCCAATCCAATTTTTTAATTGTTTTTGGCCAATACCTGCCAATCACAATAGTTTTACGTTTAAATTTCGTTTCCAGCGACTTAAAACAGATCATCGGGCACGCTAGAACTTCTCGAATCACATATTCTAGGGATAGAGCATTGTAAAGTCTACGTGAACTTATATCCAACAGTCCTTCTGAGCGAACATCAATTAGATCCAACAACATATCCACGACGGAAACAATTAATGTCGGTGCTGATATTATAAATAATTCGGAGTGAGCTAGTCAAAGATTTTGGCGATGAACCTAGTCCTCAGTAGGCCAAACTTGTCGAAAGGGCCGCAGACTGGGACAATCTGAAGTTGCGATCATTTTAAGTAACATATCGTCTTCACCAATCGCGACTACTACAGCTAGTAAATTAACAAAGTACATGAGATATAAAATTTGCATATTTATAACTACGACTCAGAGCAGACCCATGTTTTTTCACGATAATTATTTTTGGGGCAGAATATCTTTATTATCTTACTCGACAGGCTGCCGTCCATTACCTACTTTACTGGCCCCTATCTTTCCAAATTCTGGGGTTTAAATTACTGCAATACTCCCAAGGTTTCATCTACATGGCCTGCATGCAAACTACATCACACTATATACCACGTAGAGGACTAGATAATCATCTTCACTAACGAGGGATTAAAAAAAGATGATTAAACACACATAGACCTGCTAGTCCCAAGACTCCAAACTGTCATTTCCCAAGAAACTTAAACATTATGCGTTATCCACATTCGTAAAACAATGCTGAATCATCTATGTAACAGGTTTGAAATAAACTGACGGTGCAAATCCACTAATCGGAGCTCATTTCTATTAATCATTAGTATTCGTCTTATAATGAAGTTGGGTAATTTCTTACTCGTCTAATGGTCTGTTGTTCCTGTTGTTGGAATCCATAAGCCATACCCATTCCATTCGTTCCACCGTACCCATAATTAGCTATTCCTGCGCCTATACCACCAAAGCCAGGCGGTGCGTGGTGAGCTGGGTTCAAAGGAGGCTGGGGTGACTGATTTCGATAAGTATCAGGGCCAGGGCTACCGTTTCCATAACCTCCGAAACCAGGTTGCATTCCTGAATGTACATTAATCATTGGAGATGCAGCTCGGGTGAGGAAGGCTTGTTGGTACTGAAGTTGCTGTAAATTCAAAGGGGGGATACCAGGGCTGTTGAACATGGGTCCATAGGGGAGAAATGTAGACATGTTCGCATCCATGTTCTCTGGTCTTGCCACGCCCATATCAAAACTCGAGGATTGCATCTGAGAATAGTGGGCAGCATTAAAGTGTTGAGGCATTTGCTGATTGACTATTTGAGATGGGGTTGAGGCTGGTCGGGGCCTGTCCATAGGTCCATTCGGGGCGTGATCACGCGCAGGACCAGTACTAACCCCACGTGGAGAGAGACCAACCTCGTCCATGAGGCGCTTATAACATTGAGCAGGTTGAGCTTTAAGCCGAATAAGGACATTTCTAATTTTCTCCACAACTTCTGGACGAATACTTTCGTCAAAAAATGGAGTTGTGAGCACTTTAAAAATTAGGGTAGCGCCACAAGCGTGATCCGAAAGTATGGTCTCGAGTGTCTCATCATTAGACGAGAAGAATAGAGCCTTGTATATCTTGTCTCGCGCTTCTGGTTCTTGCTTTTGGTTTATCCCTTTAAGAACGGTCAAGTAAGCTACTTTGTGCGTACAAAGATGTGTGAGGTGAGGAATTAATTGAGGAACAAGGACGGATCTTCTTTGAGGGAATGTGCACGTGTCTAGAAACCAAGTTAAGAGAAGTGCCCCGTTTGCGCTTGTGGCTAGTTGTACACTGTGAATAGCAATGGTCGCCGCTAGCATTCGTTGTTGTTCTTTTGTCGAATGATGGCTTTCAAGGCAGGCACGCATGGCACGTGCACCATATCTTCCCTGCGCTATCTCCCAAATTTGGCTCAACATAGATTCAAAAATAAAATCATTAAAGGGAGAGCCAAACTTCAAACAACATTGCAATACATAGTTTCCGAATTGATCCAGGAATAGAGGGACCGTGTATGGTCGCAAATTTTTAACGATCATGTTCATCTGCTTAGGTGTTTTACAGACATCTATTATTTTTTGAGCGGCCCAAGTTCCGTTCTTATGAACACCAATTTCTGTGATATGAGGTGCAATTTCAGCCAACATAATGTCGCGCATATCATCCGAACAATGCTCAAATAACTTCTGCACAACTGTGTTTCCCAGGTAATCCGAAGATAATTCTACAATTTCAGGGAGCATAGCTGAGGCTATCATTTCGACTTCCGCCACAGATAAACTTTGATTGTCAATTCGTTTTCGGATGTCGCGCAATTTTGGAGCGTCATGAATCCTGTTATGACCGGGCTCTGGTATGGGGGGGATCTCAGACTTGCGCTTGTTATCAGTGATGGAGGCGTCCAGACTACGAGTTATTTTTGCCTTTTCTTCTGGAGACGCTCCAAATTCTCCTACAATGGATAAAATTTCCTGTTTCATCTCTGCAAGGGCAGGTATAGCTAGTGGGGCAGTCCCTGGTCTTGATATTATACCTGTTGGAGTACCTGAAGCATCGCCGTTCTTTTCTCCTTTCAAAAAAGGATCGGGGCTTGGTGATGGGAATTGTCCATCACCTCCAGGAGTACCGGAAGGAGATGGGGGCTTTGCAAAATTAATTCTTACTGGTCCCGCTCCTGGGAATATTTCTTTCCCGTTCATCAAAGCCTTTGCAGATATGGCACTCTCCAAGCGTTCGAAGTTGACAAAGCCGCAGTTTTTGTGTGTTAAAACTCGCGCAGATATAATAGGACCATGGTGCTTAAACATCTCTGTTAATGTTGAAACAGTGGTTGAGAGAGGAATGCTGCCAAGCCATAGTGCTCGAGTTGGCCCTTCGGGGTTATCGTCAATATTAAAATGGTCGTTTCGGCTCGTCGATCGCCCCATGGACATGGCCGCAACGGCAGAGGGAAGTTCTTCGTATTCATCGTTTAATCCTAGCTCGGAAGAATTCAAGCCACTATCTATACGCGATACACTTGGGTAGTAATTTTTCATAATCCGTGAGACTGGAGCCTCAAGAACACCTGCGGTTCGGGCTCGTGGTCGGTTTACGGATGCTTGACTCGCAAAGGCCTGAACAGCTAGATTATGCTGTTGGATTGCTGCATGTGTAGCAGCGAGCTGCATCTGAAGTTGAGCTTGCTGCGCTTCGAACGGTAGCAAGTTTGCAGATGTGTACTCGCTCTCTTCTTCCTCTGCATACTTTTCTTTGGCATTAACCGAGTATGACCGGAATCGACTTGATTGCTTTGAAATATCGGCAAGATTTGCGAGTAACGGATTGACTAGTGTTGCCCGTGGAGGTTGAGGAGTATCTGCCAAGCCGAGGTAATCGAGTGTTCTCATCTGCATATCGTTATCACCGCCGCCTTCCCTCGAAAAGACGGATGGAGATGGGGATCCTGGGTTGTTAGATCCCTGGCTGGCAATGCTGACCAGCGTCGATGTTCGCTCTCGTCCAGACGGCCAATTAGTGGAGAAGACCGAAGGTCCAAATGGACCTGCTGAGCTCGGAGCATAGGGACTTCTTTGGGGAGTAGACCCGGCCCTTAAGCGAGACAACAAGGCAGCAGTTCCGTTAGCGACCATCTCAGCGGAAGTAGGAGATGGGGGCTTGAATGATGGAAGAGGAGCTGGCCGGGGTGCTTTGTTAATCGTTGTAGGTTGAGATGCTGCATTGTTAGTTATCCCACCAGGAGAGAAGCGGGATGGGACTGTTCCGGCCCTAGCTCTGCGGGTTGTAGAGGCTTGAGACTCTTGGGGAGAAGAACGCGAGTAGTCGGGAAACCCGTCCGTTGGAGATTCAGGAATATTCTCACGGAGAGGTGTGGAATTTCCGCTGGTAGGGGGTCCCCATACATTTAGTGATACGCCTTCCTGGGCTTGAATCTCCCGAGCCCTAAAATTGTTAGTCGAGTTTGCAGGTTTTGAGGAGAGAGCTGTTATCTAGACCTTTTGGAAAACAGTCGACTAGAGCTACCAAGATCGAGCGATGGAGAGCCAGCCCCCGAGCGTATATGATTAGCCATTTTACTGGCGGCATGAATTCCACCCGGTAGAGTATAGGTAGAGCGTTGCTGGGATGTGTTACCATTTGACGGCTCCGTTGGAGATGTATTTGCTGTCGATGTTCCCGAGCGGCACATAGTGTGCGAAGGTAGGTAGCCGAGAGTCGGATGATCGGATCTAGGAGACATTATGAATTATGTATCCTCTTATAATATTCGCAAGGATACTTGGGCGGTGATAATATAGACAAATCAGATAATAGCGCGCTCTATTAATCAGATATTAAAACACTCAATCTATATAGCGCGGATGAGTATGAGATAAGGTGACTATAGTCTTTTTTGGATAGCGCTGGCGCTGTAAGTGATGAGAAAATTTGGAGTATGTTGGTGTTTTTAGTGCGTAGTAGAGCTTGTTTCTATGCGTATCTTGTGAATAAAAATGCAAAACGGCGGAACAAATAGTCAGACAGAATTAATGATACCGTCAAGCCGCTTAATTAACAAGTAGTCGCAGATTTAAGGTGTCTGCGTTGAACAATGGTCTAGATTATAAAGTAGTCGACTAATTATTTGTTACCCGGCACATTTTCATTAGTACATCATCCCCGCCTTGATAGAATCTGTAGACCTTGGGAGAATTGAAAGAGTTTTAGGTGCGGAGTGGAGGAACTTTGGAGGTAGGACAGATAGTGATGCGAAGGACAGATAGTGATGCGAAGGACAGATGCGAATGGGAAGGATGAGGAAAAGAACTTTGGGAAAAGGCGGCGTCAGAAAGGTAAGCAGGGGTGATGGGGGGGCGGGGCGAAGAAAAGAGTTGGAGGCCAGAGCTAAAGGAGGGGGGTTTGAGACGTGGCTATAACCGGGAGCGGCGTGGGATTAAGGTTGCCAGCGCTGGGGGTGGAGAGAAACAGAATACGAAGAAGCAGGCGTAGGATTGGATCCAGTGACGAATAGATATCAGGATAATGTACTATTATTGTAGATGGGCGTTTTAACAGGCGAGTTAATGGAAGATTGATTACAAATGATCTTGAAGATTGGGAGGAGAAGGGGGTATAATTAGCCAAAAGCGGCGAATTTCAGTAGATTAGCTGGGCAGGCCAACGCAGCGCAGGATGGGGCAGGAGAAGGTAAAGAACACAGTTGCAGTTCCCCTCCCGCGGATAAGAAGCGAGACAGCCCAGCAGCTAACGCTTAATTAGGGGATTCGATGCGCTTGACGCGAACTAGGGGCTGACAGCTTATCATTGGGTTTCAGTCAGGACCGGTCGAATCGGAGCTGTCAACCATTCGTTGTGTTCCCCTCCCAGAAAAAAATTTGGCTATACGAAGAAACTAAGTTCTCATATGCCGCTGCCATCCGGTTACCCCTCGCCGTGTACGCGCCGCAGTGTGAGGCAGATGGACATTGTTAACGCCAGCTACCTCCAATTAATTGTCGACTTGTTCTTTAGAATATTGTAGGATAGCTTGGATGGTGCTGCTGATAGGTATCCTGACTCCAGTGAGAGGGAACGTATGTTACACGTCAGGAGCCCCTTGAGCCGGGAGTTGGAAGGATGAAGCCTTACCCAAAGTGGAATCATCGACCACGTGAGGCGGTCGAGAGTCATTGGTTAGTCGAGACAAAATCTGATGGCTTTGCGGCTAGCGTTCTTCTGATGCTGGTTGTGCCAGATGTGGCCTGTTTCAACGGGCACCCCCAAAGCAACAGCTGTAGGATTATATTGCCTTGGCTCACGTGTCGTCTCCTGTTTCCGTGTCTCTTGAAACATCGGTTGAAGGCAATTTGGGCTTTTCCACTGAGAATCTTGGACATTTTTTCCACGAACTCGCTTGTTGGCTCCTGTGACTGAAAGACGTATCAACAGGATATCGATCGTCTAAGATCACACCTGTCGCGTCGGGCCAGAGTTCTTCCCAGAAAACCCCCATGAGTTGCGGAGCTCAAGGCCAGCATGGTCACTGTGATGATACGTGCAATAAGTGGCATGATTACCAACCTTGCTAACAGTCATGATAGTAATAATACTATGGCTGATCACGGACATAATCACAGTTGCAGAAGAAGTGGCTCGGTTAAGCTTGACACCTGCCGACCAGCGCCTGAATGGCTAGCTCTCAACATGGACGTAATGGCGGCATAGCCTAGGCTATCCAGGTCTACATGGGCTCAAGCGAAAGCGAGCGCTGTAATGCCAAGTTGCCAGATCCTCCGCCACGCAAAGTATCGTCATGGACCCTCACACATCTCGAGTCCCCTGCCGCCAACCGCTCGCAGGGTCGCCCTCAATAGCGGGGAAGTGTCATCGATGCCGCAACTGCCCTCGGCGGCCCTTTCAGCTTACGTGACAAGAGTTCATCATCGGGGATGAAAACCTCGCTGCTGAGCTTAACCCAGTGCCTCCATTAGGTCTGGCCCTACTACTTACCCTTGTTTCCGGCCTCACTTTATTTTTACTTGGTACAATATTTTTTCTCAAGGCTTGAAAGCAGAGCAAGCCAGAGGAGTCAAGCAAATATAAGTGGAGGCCCATATCCTGCTAACTACGAATACAGCTATGGATAGATGTAAAGTATATCTGATCTTACTGAAACAGTAGTTTACTATTTCGGCTCTAAAGGATTTTGTTGCATGGTAATTTTCTAGAGGAAATAGGATTCCGTCATGGCCCAATAACTAACTACACCAGCAAAATTCTCGACGCAGTAAGATTTATTCTAAATCCTGTGAAATATAGAATTCATACGCCAGTTTGCCGCCGTCTTCTGCCCAGTCGGCGATTCAAATATATAGCTTCCCGCCGTTGCAAGGCATACTACCTATAAGCAAGTACTCTTCGTCCTCAGATCTCTACAGCATACCACCAGATTTCCAGAAGTCTCCCAGTTTTAAACACAATCTATTCCCGCAAGATGTTTAGCCGCCGGATGTAGAGTCGTTTGTCTATTTGATATCCATAGAATTCAACAAGTGATATAGTATCATATTGAGAATTTTTTTGTACTTCTAACTCCCTATTTATTCTACTCAGGCTCTTTACTTTTGTTTCTTACAGCGAAAGCCATTTAAGATGTACTGTGGCTAAACTAAACAAGTATGAGCATTCAACGAGAGTCGCAACTTTTCCGCCAACGCCTTAATATTTTCTGAAATCCAACGCGAAGAATTTATCTCTACTCTGTGTCGGAGAACCATAGACTTGCATGAATTACCCGTCGGCAAGGAGAGGAAGATTGGCGCGTAACTGCGCAGATTGTGATAGGCGTCTTCGAGTATCCAGGTTGCGCGAAGTCGCCATGAGCGGTTTTTTCTCTTCTTTATATTCTGCACGCTCTTGGCCCTTGTTTGAAACAAGCTGCAAAGGCCTAACTTCTCCCTCCCGCTTGTATAGATTGCGAAACATATATACCCCGCTTCCCTCGCATCCTTCGCTCTCTTCCACGAATTTACACGAACGTTGGTTACGCCAAAAAGCTGTCCAAAACGGAGTCTTGGTATCAGATTTGTAGTGACTACCCATGACGCGTTTTATATGCGTAGAAGCTTCACCAGCGTGGTAGAATGGTATACTAGAGATAAGATGATGACAAACATGTGTCCCGATTATATCGTGGAAAAAATGTGTGTCGAGGAAGCCGAGATCTCGATCAATGGTGGCTGTTGCACCACGAGCAAAGGTCCATGTTGAATTACTATAATGTGGCATGGATGCATCGGTATGCTGCAAAAATGTGATGGCGACTTTGGACAGTTAGTTCTAAAATTCAAAGCCAATAAGTGAGGGGGCATACCAATCCAGTTGTTCACCCATAACCACGGCACACCGAACAAGATGCAAATGTTCCAGCTGCCGAAGGTTTGACCAGCTATGACCAGCGCAACAACCATGACAGCTACCCCAATGTCGGATAGAAGAATTAAGCCAAGTTCGTTTTTTTTGAAAAAGACCGAATCCTCGCCGAAATAAAAGTGCGATATTCGAAGCCCTTTGGCACCTCCATATTTTTGTCCCGTCAAATTAAAGAGCAGATATCCAGGCCATCCGACGAGTTGATGAACCAGGTCATGCCATAAGGCTACGATTGGGGAGTCTTCAGCCAGCTCTGCGAACTCGATCATGTTTGCACTTGCTTTAGGGCCTAGCTTAGTTTTGAGCCAGGTATCACGAGTGTGAGGTACAAAAGCAGTATCGCGCTCAATGTTTCCTGTGGCTTTGTGATGTTGTGAGTGCGAAAGACGCCATGAATGAAAAGGTACTAGGAGAAATGAGTGCATTATGAGTCCCATGGTCCAATTCAAGGTTTTTGATTTTGAAAACGCCCCATGACCACATTCATGGGCAAGTATCCAAATTCCGGTGAAAACGAAACCTTGAATTACTGTGTAAGCAGTCCAAGCCACAAAACGAAGCGGTGCAGACGGAATGAGAGGGATATAAGTGATGGAGAGGTAGATGAGAGTGCTGAGGTATAGATAATCGCGTGCGACGTATGCCATGGATCGAATGGTAGAGGGCTTAAAACAATGTGCTGGAATAGCATCGTAGATTTCTTTCATAGTAAAGCTCGGAAGCTCGAACGAGTTGCCATTCAAGTCGATATGCTGGGGTTTGTCTTCCATGATGATAGATGCGCTGGAATGAGTTGAAGTAGAGATGTTGAAGATTGAATACCGAGTGTAGAACGGGTGGTGGCGCTGTGAAATATAGATTGAGAAACAGAGAGTCAAGTAGTCGATTAGTGATAGGATACGAGACGTGTGTCAAGATTCGACCCTCGGAAAACGCCTCTTGTAAGAGTTTTCTTCAATGATTGGGTAAGGTTAAAAAAGTGTAGAGGAACGAAGATTTATGTACAAATCCGTCTCCTGTCCGTTATTCCGTTATCCCAGTTTTATCCTCGACCCTTATCGCACACGGACCCGTGTGAACCCCAAATCTTTCAAGTGGAGCTAGAGCATATGAGGAAGAAGTGGTGGAAATGGTTTTAAAGTGAAATTGGCCTGATCCGTGGGATGTAGGTTGCAGTGAGTTGGTTTTGGCACCCTGCTGCACTGAAATTTACACGTTACGGAAGGGTCAACAAGAAATTTAGATGCTCGCAAAATGGATTTCGATATCCCGCGGGCTTGCAGAAGCGGCTTTCCCATTGGTATTCGCGATATCAATATTTTCATCACAAGCACCGATCGCTCACTGTAACAAGACTGAATGAGGAAATATATATAATCTGTATCAACGAGGAAATTGTGCCAGCTTTTACCATCGTTTGGGGTGGAGATTTGAGTAATTATTGCACAGTTGCTGACTCATATAGCTCGTGAGTAAATACGATGATGATGATGCCTAACGTCGAGCTTTTCCCTTATTCAAAATAGCTAGCGGGAGATGCTCACTACTCGTTTTTCAGTAGGACTGGAACCTCATTCGGCAATTAGATTTTTATCTACTCATCCGAGCTTCTAGTTTGCGCAACATGTGCTTTTTCGCTTAGGTGGGTATGCTCCAGTTCACGACCTCTTTACTCACATTGGCTACAGATTGACTGCTTGTCCGATTTGCGCACCTTCGTCCTCTACGCATCTTGTCCAAACAAGGGGCAGATAATCGACACTCTGAACCGTTTTTGGGCTGATTTGGTCAGTCCACTTGAAGACCATCTAAGAGAAGAAACTAGCTTGGTTATCTCAAACGCGTCGCCGGCTAGAAGTTTGGGCCTCGGCGGTTGCAGATTGCAAACGCAAGAGTAGTGGTCTTGGCGCTCGCAAGATCGGTATGCTTTATATGCAGATCATCCCATACCTCATCCATATGATAAGTTAATTGCGTTTGCGAGGAATTTACAATTACCGACCAAGCCAACTTCGAGCAATTTATTCAAATGATGATTCATTGAGTGATAAGTCTCGATCCATTGGAAGCCTAGGGTCGGCTATATTCAGCCTAATACTACTTGTGTCTTGCCAAGCTCTGGGATCCGAGGGAACGGAAAGTGGCAAGCTTCGGTGTCTTTGAACCCCAGCATGAAGTACCGCCGTACATGGTTAAAGAATGTTTTGCTCCCAGCCGCGAACAGACCCCTTTAACTGGGCGACCCACTCTACATTTTTCTTGAGCCGCAGGCAGTTCTCCTATCCAACCGAAACTGTGGCGGATGTTCCAACATAGGAGTGTTCACGTGTAGGGGCATCCACATTGTCTGTTCGCGGCTTGCACAGATTCTAGGAAACAGCTGTAATAGTATCCCCAATAAAATAAACGGTGCGTTCTCAAACGATTAGGCGCACGCTGGACTTCATTAAATATTCATTAGCCGCATAGGCGCTACGGGAGCGTGTTAGTGTTGCATGGGATCAGCCTGCACTGTGTAACAGTTACCGAAAGGTTAATGGGAGCGATTATGATATAACATGTAGCTCACATCTATGAAGAAGACCAAAATTACACGAGGTGCCATAGGAAGAAGAATGATGATGTATCCCGCTGGCCAGTGCAGGATAGGAATAAGTTTTGGGCTCAAGTATCTTCCGAAATTTACAGTTATTGAGCACGGGTCGTGACAAGGCGAAACGCCCGATATAAATTGGAGATTTAGGGAAGACAATGCAGGTCTGGTTGGCACAGAAGCCTCATCTTGCATGTCAGACACTGAGTCTAGATGATTGGAACGACTCCACAGCTGAATTTGCTTGTTTTAGTCCTTTCAAGGCTGACTTAAGTTCACTATATTTAGCGGGAAGCGCTATGGTAAAGATTTACTAGACTCATAAAATGGCCTTGTTACAATTAGCGAATTAGAAGCCACCAACATTTACATTACTAATTTTCGTGCTCGGTTCTCTAAAAGAAATATGATTATTGTGGGGCACGCGCAGAAATGAACCTACAGCCTTAGTTCATTTCAGAGGTTTATGTAAGCATTTATGCAGCGTACCTGGCAAATTTCCGGCAAGAAACAGCCTTTTCCAAACCGATACGGCTGTGTGTCGTCTCTTCACCTGCCGGTAAGTGAATGCGTTTCTCTATCGAATGTGCACTCATGACGAGCGTCTCACCCGTCTTCAGCTAGGTTGCTTCTGACATGGTCTAATCTGGTATGGAATAAAGGCTCAGCAAAGCTCTCAGACAATGAAGAGGAGCTTGTGGCGACAAAGATGGAGCTTATCAGTCACAAGATTCGGGCCTCGAATATCTTTTCAAATTAACATAGAGGATCGACGTTGAATAGAGCGAATGCAATTGCTGTCAGACGTGATACTCTTGGCAACACTGACGGAGCCTAGATGGAGATGATTGGCCCCTGCTAGCTGTAGAAAGAAGATAATCAATGGCTATCCCCCTTTCAATCCTTCATCCTTGAGCAATCCTAGTGACAGACATTAAGTTGGATTGCATCTCAATGATATTTCTCAAACCGTAACAGCTTCGTCGTTGTACCAAACAAACTTTTGAAATAGTGCCAATCCTCTCGCAATAAAAATTATTGGGACGAAACTGGCGCCCTCATCATCAAGTAAATCAAACTTGACCACATTCAAAGTCAAATTCTTTGCTTTCCGTTGTACAATACTGCATTTGATCCCTGCTCCACTCTTAATTGAAATGCGATCCAACAAATCTGAAACATACCTCGTCCTTAAATCATACAGATCAGCCCCTGATATCAGCCCCAATACCTTGATCACTTCCCGATAACAGGCAAGACAGGCCGCCTTGTCACATACATCATCATCTTGCGCAATTTTATGAGATAAAAGTAAGGTTACTGAATGTATCATGATTAAATGCCTTCCAGATGTCTGCACCAACTGACCTGTATGCGAGAAGAATAATGCCATTTTCAACATCAATTTCTCTCGAATGATACTAACCTTGTAATCAGAACCTTGTCCTCTTTGGGTACAGCTTAATCCTAATGGCACTATCCGTAATAAACAGGCTGTAAACTTTTGCAATGTAGGAACTTAAACTACACTTTATTTATCCAAAAATACTTCATGTTACTCAGCTGGAAGCAAAGTTACCACTAAAGTTAACTATTCCAAGGTAGAAATCAGAAACATCAAAACAAGTATTCATCGTTGTGATAGGCATCGAGTTCGAATACAGCATTTGCATGAGAATATAGTTTCTAATGAGTGATTCTATTGACGGAAAGACTAATACTGAACTGAAATCAATATTTGCGAGAACAAATACGGGATTTTCTTGCGGAGCCATACTTTGTCTAAATTTACCAGAATGGGACGATTTTCCGGACTTTTATTGTACGAAATAACAGAAATTCGTGAAAGGGTTTTCAGGAAATCTAAGTTTACTTTGACAAAAGGACAATCACAACTACATTTCGGACTGTATTCCCTTGCCTATGCCTCCAAGGCAGCTTCTCTTGGACGGTGCCATTTCATAAGTATTCGTCCAAAAATACCATAAGAAGATCCCGTCGCCCTTCTTTAAAACCCCTCCAACCCAACGGAATGATAGATCTTCTTTATAATAAGTCGTTTGTTGCGTATTTAGCTACCCGAATTTAACACATGATCGATGCTACATGTGGATATTGGATGACTCATTGGACGTTGGAGAAAATCATACTCAGGACTTCATTCGCATATACCATTATAAGATGTTTTTGCTTAGAGAATAATTGAACCTCCGTAAATACTCATCAAGGGGAATTTGAACCTAGCTGGATGAATGAATGAATATTTATTCGTGACGTGCATAAGCCTAGCACTCAGAGAACATCCCATGGAGAAGGCTAGCCCTTCACCGACGACCATATACGACGATAACTCAGTTTGAAATTTGTACCACCAATGTACTGGGCGCATTCGCTGATTCCGCTCGAGACCTCTGTGCAAGGGACTCTCACCCTTCCCTCAACCGTTTGTATCCACCAAAGGGAAAGCAGAAAATCCTTTGGCTACCTCAACATGCCTTTGTCATCCTGTATATAGCCACCGCGCGAGATATGGCCTCACAGTCCTCCCTTTCTCGAGTGAGGGAGGTGTCCAGGCTACCCAGACTTTAACTCGGGGAGATGATGACCAGTAGGCGGACCAAAACACTTTCCATCGTTGCTAGTTTTTAGAGTGTCGGTTGCACTATCCGAAATCGTTGTTTCTGCGCCCACAGATACCCTTAATTCGAAAATACTCGAAAAATGTGCATTCCAGCATGCCCATTTGTGACCTCTTCACTCGTTCGTCCCACGTCCCAGCTGCCCATTCTCCCTCCAGATGTGAAGCCCCATTAGACCAGCGGTCTCCCACATACCAAGACCTGAGCTTTGTATGTTATGACTTAGTTTCCTCCTCGCGGGTATACATAGCATCGTAAATGTGTAGTGGAAGATGGCCGGTTTTTGTTGAGGCAAATGCCCGATTGCAGTTGGAGTAACGCCATTATCGGTATGTGAGGCGAGGTGGTATAGTAAGATTGAGGTGGAGGACTCGCGTGAGAATGTTAGATAGGACACTGACGAGAAGTCGACGATTTCAGATGTGCTTTTTTTTTTTTTTTTGCATCAGATTTTAATTGCGTATGCAGCTATCTAGCTATGACACAATATCAAAGAAAAGTACAGAAAAGATGACTCAATTTACAAGAGGAGCACTCATGCCTCGGGTTTCATTTGCAAGTACCACTGCGAAGTTATGGTGGCTTTTTCTTCACCCCAAGTCATCCCTCATCCGCGAATACCCACCCAGGGGAACGTCTCAAAAACCCTGAGTTATCCAGACATGCCTCCATCATCCTTCAACTTTTCTCCGCGCGATATGTGATCTGAGGTGTCTCCTTCCCAAGTGGAGTCGGTGCCCAGGCTACTCAAACCATACCAGAGAACACCACCGGGGGGCGGATCACTACACCTTCCATCGTCTGCTTGTTTTTATAGTGTCAGCTGCACTCTCGCAAGCGAAGTCTTGGCGCGCACAAAGCCCAATTCGTAAAACTCTTGCCAAAATTCAAATTTCCACGCCCGTCGAAAACGTATCCCTCTCCTGCATCATCTTGTGAACTTGTCCTGATCCCTCTCACGCCCATCTCAAAGAGCTATCTCCCAGATTTGTGCACCACGCTTTGCTTCCTCCGTCGGGTATAAATATCGGCGTGAGCGTGTATTTGGTGACCGGCTGAGGCCAGAGAAAGTCGACGAGAGGTGTGGTCATTGGAATGAGGGTATACTATGTCGTACTTGTAGACTTGATGAAGTTTAGTTGGGAACCGGACTCTTTGGGGGTGACAGATTGAAATGGTGGAGTAATTTGAATTTTTGCCTCGTGGGCCAACTTCTTTGATATTGCGAAATTTGACTGAACTTGGCTCTGGGAGAATATTTCACTCCCAGGTTCGTAGAGGACACCGCGCACAGGTGTTCAGTCTTGCCCTCCTTCAGATGTGCTTGTGAGTGCTTACGACTTCAATTTGGTTGCGATTCTTCTTGGCTATCCCAGACATGCAGAGCATACTAAGCGTTTACACCGGCACCACTGGAAGGTGAAGAATTCGTCCTTGCCGGTAACCCCAGTTGGATGGCGATCTTGTTTGTGATTGTTTTTTACTGTACTACTTGAGTCTATGACTATCTAGCACATTAGATGACGATCTTTATTTTACGTCAGGCGCGCCACGCGTCTAGCGTACGGCCCTATCTAGTCCCAACGGAGACAAAAGATGCGAGGAGCTAGTCCATGTCCTCCTTCATATTTTAAAAGAGATGAAAGAAACCATTACATGACCATAGATACACAGAAAATGCATTCACATGGCTTCTCGCAGATTGCCATGTTCTTGCGTGTGTTGAT